GGATCACTGTCCTTCACAGGCTACAAAGAGAGAAAATACAGGCTCACAAACACAGAGTCACTGATCAACCACGCACAATGCCCTTGTTCTCCCAAGCTGCATGAGAACAATAGCTTAAGGTGCAAAATATAAAATGCATCTGCTCTATCAAGCAGCCTGTTTCAATCAAGCAGTTTACATTATGTTTCATTCTCAAAGCCATAACTATACAAGTCAAATTCCTCATTTTTGGACATCTATAGGAAAACTAAAGAAGATTATGAGGAAGATTAACATGAGAGGAAGAGATCTCATATCCCGCTTCCTCGTCTTCCCAAGGGAACAAAAACACTTATTTTCCAGCTTCCAAGAACTCCTTAAAACAGTATTCTGGGAATTGGCTGGAGATTCCACTTGGTACTGTCACATGCTAGGCAAACCCATATTAACAGCAACCTGTAGGCCCAGGTATCTCACCTTGCTGATTTATGCACAAAAATGAAAGGTTTCCAAAAGCTGCTTAGGATGGAAATCAAATGAGACAACCCCATATGACAGTATCCAGACAGGGACAGACTATCCACATCATCTCCTCTGGTTTTGGGAAGCCAGTCTCAGAAATACTTTTGAAACAAGAAGTGCAAAGATTAGTGCACCAAGTTAAGTGTGAATCTGCAAATGGTTCCACAAAGACTGAAATCTCACTTCCCAGCAAACTTCTTAATTGCCCAGAGTATTGTTACACTACAGATTGACTGCACAAGAGCATCTTATTTTGTTTCTGCAGGAGGAAGAGAAGATATTGCCCAGACAAAAGGCGCTAGATTTGCTTCCACAAACTCAGTTCCTAGATTTCATATGTTGTGGAGTTTCTCACCTCACTGACGCTTGGCGGCCATTTAAATCCAGCCACTGTTCCAGTCATCACTCTCTTCACTGTGCTTGACTCTGGAATTGTGAGGTCCTGAGGAGACAGAAGGAGGATCAGAAAGAGCTTACAACCTGTCTCAGTGGCTGGCCACAGCACGTCGATCATATGAGCACACATACAGAGTTCTGAAAAGCATTACAAATGCCTTCCATTTCACATGCCTTTCCACGAGGAGTTCATATTTAAACACATGGTGGATTATCAACACAGGTGAGGTGAAGAAAACATGAACTGCCAACGAAGGAATTCAACCACAGTTATGGCTTCTGGAGAATCCGTTCTTCTTATGTAAGGGGAATCACTGCACTGGTGTCACTGTGCAATGAGCAGAAGCAAACACACACATTTGATCCAGCATTTTCCTCTGGTGGATGCAAACAGCTAAACAAATGGGTGAAGAACATCACCAAAGTCAGAGGTCTGAACTCTTCTAATCCTCATCTGTCATAAAAAAGTAGCCTACCTGTTACCAGGAGAACCTTCAAAGCATGAGGCAAAGCAATAGTCACATCTGCTCAGGTTTGCAGAATCCATGAGAGAGAAACTGGTATGTGGACTGCCCCACTCAACAGGCCCTGACTTGTAATGTCATGACAATACTTAATGCATCGGGTTTTTTTACATTGAGCAGACTAGAATTTTTCTTATTTCCCCAGGATATATAGTTTAAAATAGGTCTTTATGCTATAGGTCACAGACATATGCTATAGACGTATAGGTCTTTATGCTTTATGAAGAGAATATGCAGGAATTCTGCATGGCATGTGTTATCTTCCTGAACTGAAGCCTCAGAAATGGAATCACATTATCTCCCTTCTAAAATGACTTCCTGAAAATGTACAATATACCGTAGTGTCCACGCAGAAGCACAAGAGAAGAGCATTGTTTGCAAAACAGGCAAGAACAAGATTCCTGGAGGTAACCCAGATTGATGCAACTGCTTCATCTGTTAGCAGGGACAATTTAGACATCAGCCTCGAACCTTAAGTTGTCATTTCAGTCTAGGGAGAGCCTTGCACACTAAAATTCTCTCCTTAGAGACCATGCTGCTGTTTCAACTGGTAAAGCGTGGATGAAACCTGCCCTGATACCTATGAAGGCGTGTTGATCCTTTGAAAACATGCATATAAGCTTAAAAACGAGAGTATCTGAATGATCATGTATGCCTACAGAGCATTGCTAGATAGAGCACGCCTCAGCAACAACAGGTTCCTTGAATTTTGTGCACCCTTATTACTTGGAAAGCGAGAATTTCAACTGTGATGAGGCAAAAATCTCAAAATCCCAACACAGCAGTAATTCATAATGGCAACATAAATGTTTTCTACCCTAGGGCTAAGAATTCAGGGAAATTATGAGAACCAGGAAGAAGACAACAAGATTTTAAAATTATTTCACAGGCTGAAAAACAGTATTAAGGCAGTACTGTTACATTTTCATGGCAATTTCTTTAATTGTTAGTACATTACTTTCCAGAAGCTATAAGGCTACTTTCCTACATTAGCCTGCTTATTTTCACAGTCTGTGGCCAGACATTTATCACATAGCTGGCAACCCTCTTTTTGATCAGCTGGTTTTTGATCTGCTTGCAATTTGCCAGTAAAATAATTTCTACTACCACAGTTAACTCACTCAAAGCACTCTGATGCCCTCAGGTACCTAATACAGTAAAACCTGCACATGCAACGTGTCAGCATGATCATCATCATGCATGTGTCATCATCATCCCAGCCATTAGTTTTGATCAATTTTGGAATCAATCTAGCTCAAAGACACAAAAGCATTTTTGCAAGTGGAAAAAAAGTGGTTATTGTAACAGAAATATGTGAAGATACAACCTGCTCATAGCAAGACACTTTGAAAGGTAAAAGTATGTTGCCGGTATAGTGTTTTCCTGTGTCAGTCAAGTCATAAGTTCTGTAATTACTAGTAAGAATTCACAAATACGCATCCATTCCTCTCCTCCTCCAACTCTCCCCCAAAAGGAGAAACTGATGGGCTTCATTGTACAGCCTGATTAAACAGAAGCTGGCTCTAAAAAAAAAAAAGCCAGTATTTCCTTCATAGCTAATATCTGAGACGATCAGCTTCATTTACTACATCAAGAAAGAGTCTGCTGTTCGAGCAGTGAAGGCCAATCTGTTCACAATTTTGGAGACCAAGACTACCATCTTGACTTGCATCCTGAAGTGCACTGAAAGCAAAGATTGTGAAGCAGAGCATAACGTGATCCCTTTGAAGCACAGGTGAACAAGCATGCTGCTGGATGGTTTATCAGCTGAATTCTCCCAATGGTCTTCAGGTGTAGTCTCCAATGGAGCACGTGCATTGTAATAATCCACTGAAATAATTATCCATTTGGAAAAGGAAGATCTGGACCACAACAGTGAGTTCCACAACAAATAAAAAGGCTGGAACTCCAGATGAGGGTAGACAAAGCATCGGTGGCTATCGTTGCTGCCGCAACATCCAGAAATAACAGGGAAGTAATGGGGATGAAATAATAATGCCCCAAGGTTGGACGTTTATAATGGAGGATGGAAATATATCCTATAGTATAAAAGCTGAAGTGAATACAATTAATTCTTCTGGTGGATTCCCCAGGCTACAAGAGTTTCTTCTTTCAGCCCTAGCCCTTAAGAATACCCCACCCTCTAAGTACTGAGGCTGAAGCTGAGTGATTACTAATCACTTCGTCATACAAAGCAGATGAGATGGGAGAAGTCAGAAATTTGATGAAGACCCATATCTCTTCACTAATCCTTCCCCCATAAACTGAACTTGAGGGATGGCAAGATGAAAGGTGGAGTCTCATGATACAGCTCTTAAAGCCCTCTCAAAGATATGAATAGAAACACTCAAAATAACTAACTGGTAAAAATTACAGGAAGAATCAACAATATGCTTGCTAAAGGTATCAGGCAGCCAAATGGTCTAGAAGTAGCAACATGGAACAGCTTAAATAAACTTGATACTGAACTGACTCTTCCTGCTGGCCTGTTGTTAGTCGAGGTGCCAGTCAACCCTAGAGTCCATCCGCAAAGTCCACAGGGCACTGGCGGACATGCACAACACAAACCTTCTCATCCTTGGGTGGACGCCCCCGCTTTCGGGGACTCTGATCCTGGGCTCTTTTCAAAGGTGATTTTGATCCTCTCTCTGACGATAGAGAAGAGACCCTCTTTTTTCCTTCCCCTGTGCCCTTCTTCAACTTCCCTTCAGACAAACTGGCTTTGCGTTTCTCTTCACCAGCAGATTGCTTGCCTCTTTCTTCACTGGAATTACGCCGGTTCTTCTCTTCATTGGAGTTATGGGAAGACGCCTGAGAGATTACAGAATAGAAGATGGTAAGGAAAGAAGAGAAGAGCTGGAATGATTTTCATGCAAAACGAAGGATGTGAAGGACCCTGTGCTGACTACTACCAAGCAAACCAGCAGCACAGTAACTTGAAAACTAGGTATTTGTTAGCCCTTTGAAGTCAGTGAGTGAAGATCCTGGTTAGTTGTCCTGCAAAAACACATCAGTTTAAGTAAGCGAGTAACAGAACAGGCCACTTGAAGATTTTCTGGGAGTGCGTGCACACATATGCACTTTCAATACAGTAAAGACAAGTTTAGTAGATATCAAATTCTAGCCCAAGACTTAAAACTGATTTATCAAATCATCATAAACAGATCAATCAGCCTCTTCAGTTTCTCTATCAGTTTAACAACACTTTTTTCCCCACCAAACAAGACTGAATGGGGAAGAAGAGAGGACAGGGGGGGAAAAAAAAAAAAAGGCAACAAAGGAATGAAAACAACTCCCCCAAATTGCCAGAGGCAACAAGCTCCTTTCCCATAAAAATGCATCTGACCATCATTCATGCCAAGACTTGTTTTGATGGACACAGTAAAAAAAGAACCCACTCACCTGGTCCTTGCCTTTGGTTTTTCTAAGAAACTCCTCTACAGCATCCACAGCTTGCTGGAAGCGCTTACCCTTGTTAATCTTTATCATTTCCTCTTTGTGAGGGTGATAAGGCTTCAGCTGCTCCACTTTGATCCAAGCACTAGAACAACAACAAAAAAAAGTCAGTTATATTCTCCAAACAGCAACTTTCTCAACCATTGCACTTTTAGAAACACACAGATACACCTTTTTTCTCCAGAGCAACTGATAGTAGCAGCACGAACTCACTTGCTTTCTACAACCTGAAGGGCTGTGGTTTCTACATTCACTTTCTTTGGCACTTTTACTTGTTTTCTCTCTCAAGCTTTGTATTCTCTCATGCTAGCAGTGCTCCAACCTAAACGTTATTCATATTCTCTATCAGCAAGACAGCTTTTGGATGTGATCACAGGTACTTGTTTAGAATAAAAGGCAGCCTAGTGACTGCACTTGTATCACCAGGAGGAACACCCACAATCACATGCCTCCACATAAGGTAGCCAATAATATGAATCTGCTCAAGAAGTTGTTGAAAGCTAAGGCCACATAACAATTCTAAGCAATCAATCCCTTGTTCAAACATACTGTGCACACACAAGTGTCTGCAAAAACTGCAGAAAAAATGCAGAATTATGTATCTCACAACAAAGCTGACCACAAATAAAGTGAGTGCAACTGCCACAGCTTACTGCTGAGCATGTTTCTGGCGTACCTTGATACTCTGCACAAAACCAACACTTTCTTTCACTTTTGAAGAAAAAGAACCACTTTCTTCCCTGTTGATATTTTAAGATAAACTGGTACAGTAGCAGATTATTAACCTGACTGCAGTCCTGTGAGGAAACTCAGATTACTTCCCTGTTTCCACTGCTGCTACATAGGAATTCTTGACATTTGCCAAATAGTTACGTGGTCAAGTACAGGGTGACAACTACATTTTCCTTCAGGTTGACAAGCTCTTCTACCACTCCTTCACTGTGACATAGGGGAATGCCCTGGCTTTCAACATTCCTTGTGGCTCCTGCAGAGATTAGACTACCTTCCTCTCTCCCCAGATTCAAGCCCAGGCTTATCAGCCACACTATTAGAGAGCTATTTCCATCCTACTGGAAACAGACCTGTGTGAGTTTCAGAAAAGGTTCTCCTGAGCTAGGATGGACAAGAGAGCTTCTTAGCATACAGCAGCCCAGCATACACTAAAAAACAGCCAAACTGATTTTCTCTGATCCCAAAAAATCTCTATGTTACAAACACTGACTAGCCATGATTACAGGTTTTAAATATTCTCCCGTGCAGTCCAGCTCTTGCAAGCAAGTGAAGTGGCTTAATAGCTGCCTTTTCAGACACTGTAAGCATCAGGTCATACAGCTAAACTGAACATAAAGGTGCAAATGGTGAAGATAATAACAATGCTTTGCTGTATCTTGTTTGTCCTCTCTCCACATAGTAGTAAAGCCCACTTCTTTAAAACCTCATGGTGATCTTTCTCTTCACTGGCATTAGCCATTGTTTGTAGTCTAGAATCAACTTGCTTAAGGTAGACTGAAACTTTTGGGGTCACACTTGGGAGAGATGAGGCCTCCTGCTAGAACTGACTGCAAAAAAAAATGCTAGCGTCCTTTACACTCTGCCAGTATAGCCTCCATCATGATTCCACCATAGTGTGGAAGCAGAACTCAGTACTCCTTTGCACACAAAGCTGAACCCTTTTGCTTAGTTTACATCTTCTTCATAATTACTGACTTCACATAATATAACGAGTCAAATCATTACTTTCAGACTCGAGCCTGCCATACAGCAGCTATTCAGAGACTCCCTCCTAGCTGCCCAGATATTATAGTGAAACATACCTTAGAATTCTCTTATACCGTAAAGCTCCTTTGTGTCACACTCAGTGACAAAGCATCCCTAGCTACTAGACATCAGCTCATGAAAAGCCTTTCCATTTCCATATAAAGGAAACAAAATTTTGGAGTACATTATAATAAAGCACGTTAAACGTTACTGCCAGATTTGAATTTCTCAATAAAAAGAACTTTTCTCTATCAAGGCATTCTCTTAGGTTTCTGCACATCCTATCCCTCCTCACTACACATGTTCATTAGCTTCCTTTCTCATTACTTTTCCTTTGGTATGGATAAAGGCTGAAGCACAAAGCTTTCTGGCTCCTGCCTTTGAAGGTACATCTTGGCACTTGTGATCCTCCAGAACAAAGAGCTAGAGATCTCAGAGACAAACTAATAAGTGAAAAAACAGTCTTAAATGCTGCATCAGGTTTAAAAATAAATTTAAAAAAGAAAGAAAAATTAAAAAAAAAAAAAAAAAAGGTGCACCACGGTCTTTTCCTTTCTACTTTATCCTTTGTGTGTCACCTATATGAACAACGTGCTATAAGATACAAATATGTCTTTTGACACCATATGTCTATAAGGCATTTGCATGCAATGTTTCAAACACTTGAACAAAAGAACTTTCCACCAAACAAATAATTCATGTTTATACACAAGATCTCTCTCTGTTAAGCAATAACCTCAAAGCCAATCAAGGCCAATATTTAGATAATAGGTCTCTAGGATACAACATATAAAAGGAACTAGCATTTCTCTCCTGACTCGGCAGTGAATTAATGCCCTAGAAAAGCATTAGTGACATTACATTACTGAAGATGTCATATTTAAGATGAAATTATATTCATAGAGTCATCTGGTATCTGTAAAGAATGGGCTAAATGAAAAGTGAAAAGATGTAAAAGAGATCAGTTATTAATGGGTTTCTCTGCTCAGTTCTCCATACCCTTCCTCATCCCCTCCAAAATATCACACTTATAAAACCACTACTCATGTAAAATCCATGTTATAGTCATGAACAATAATGAAAACTTAGAATGCTTATACAGCAGAGATAAGTTTGAATGTGACTAGGAGCTGCATGGAAAAGTGGCACAGAAGAGATGCAACCAGAGATACAAGATTCAAACCCATGATACAAGCTCAGCACAGGCAAGACGACCTTAAAACCCCCAACTTTCTAGCCACTCTCTTCCAGTCTAAAGATATTAATTCCTAATGATGAATTGGAGAAATGGAAGTGGAGGAATATCCACAAATATTCACTTTTTGCAAGCCTTACAGTTAGGTATGCAAAACAGTGGCACTGTATCTCCGAATTTCTATTACTTACTACAGTCTGGAAAAAAATTCATAAAGTTTTACACTGCGGCAGTTTAGATGCCCACACTAAATGTTAACACAATCAATTTTGAAAGTGAAAAGAAAACCACTCAGTTATTTTCAAGCCCAGTGTGTGTGAGCACACAACAGAGAAATCAAGATGGGTATCCTGCTGTTTAAAGGGAATGCCTCAATTTTTATCAGTAAAACAACTTAAATGGCTGGACTCCAAAATCTGATATGTAAACTAAACTAAATTAGAATAAACATCGATGCAGCTTAAAAGGAGGGGATACTTCGCAAAAGAAAATAAGCAGCAGGGCAATACTGAAAGAAATTCTAAGTATTAAATCTTTCAAATTTGTGCAATACACAAATTTTGCAGAGTACTCACACATCCAAAGATATCAGCAAGAGGTGGAAAAGTTTTGACTACAGTAATTTTCAGCTACGGCACTCTGACTGCAGAGATGTCTAACAACATTCCAGCTGGCTCTGCTACACAGCAGTCTGGCTACAGCAACATAGAGCTCTGCATGGGATAATGTGCCTAACTGAGAAACACTAGCAGTGTAAGCTAACCCTCTCTGTCAGCCTAGCCTGTACCCTCTGGCTCCTCAGATTGCCAGAGTACCACATTCCACACCTGGCAAACTTTAAGCAAGTATTTTCTAATGACAGGACCTCAAAGAACATTTTAGAAAGACTACATCCAGAAATTCCTCTCTCCTTGAAAACCAGGGAGAACAGCGGCAGAAGAGGAGGGAAGGTGTTTGCATCCCAACAGGATATGGGGGAGGGGAAGGCAACAAGTGCTTCGTGAAAATCACTGTGCCTGATGGAAATAGGCTGCAGACTATTATACTTATCTTGGATTGCAAGCTTCCTCCAATTTTTCCTTAATATCCAAGTCAGGAAGTGCCCCTTGACCCAACCACATTTAGTGAGGCTATTTAGTTTTGTACTGATGCTTCAAAAAGGTGCTACTAGTAAGAATGGACTGATCCAGCTTCCTATTAAAACTTCAATAAACATGACTTGCAAGACCATTTGGCTATTACAGAAAGATCATCTAAGGGGGGAAGAGAATGAGATGGGCCGTGAATGTGTTTGTACACACATCTGTGATGACTGCAGGAGACTCTCCCTAGTACGTCTTTGAAACACAGTAGAATTATACTTTCAAAGCACTGATTTTTTTTTTTAGTTTTGACGATGTCATGAATTCCCAAGGAAGCCCATGAAATGTAAGAATATTTTGAACTGAATGAAGCACACCAAGACAGACTTGTAGCAATAAATGCATGTATAAAGCAATGTATAAGTTCTTACACTGCTGTACTTTACGATCTACAAAGACTTTCTATGACAAGACTGTAGCTTGGGAAATAAAAGGGGATCTTAAAAACTATCTGAAAAGCACAGTTAGAAACACAGATAAGAGGTCAAAGTTCCACTGCTATTTAGAAAGACTAAATTAAAATCACAATTGGATGTTGTTACATGCTTGCCAGGTCCATGGGCAGGAAACATCAACTCTTCTTGATTTTAGATGAAGAATCCTTTTAACGTGACTTACTCTGATAATAGACACTCAGAAAAAGAACTCCTAGGCAGACAAGAAAAATCTCCTTATCAATTTGGAGAACAAGTTATTAAGAGACATTACATGAGCATGTGCATCACAATTAAGGCAATCACTTAGAATAGGACAAGTATATTATATTACTACTATGAACACCAAGGCGGCTTTCACTGTGGTAAAGTACAGGTGTACTCCACAGTTTAAACAGATCAGCAAATAATTCTTCCATGGGTAGAGAATCCTTATCTTCCACAAAACCTATTACTTCGAAAATGACAGAAGCAACTATCTCTACCAACACAATATACATAAGGAGCATAGAGCTCAGCAAAAACTTCATCAAAAGCCGGGTCTTAGAGCACAGTCTGAATGCACTCACCCTATCACTTTCATGTCTTTAGCGAAAACTACTCACAGCCTTTCAGTTAATGTATTTCCTTAGTCACTGCAGCATCACAGTGGGCGAGTAAGTATTAGTATTCAATTCACAGGTAAACCAAAATGCATTTTCTTCTGTGCTATATCCTAAGCTATTCAGGATTTCACAAATTACCAAAAGTGATCCACACACTACACCAAAACCGCTTCCAAACTCATCAATATGTTTTTATTCACTCGTCCACTCCACTCAGATGCACGCACAGCAGTTCTTACTTCTAAGCAGCTTTCTCCTTAATCTTTGGTATGGCAAATTGGAGCCACATAAGTCAGGAGGAAATAATTTTTAACTAGCCTGAAATGGTGGCATGTCTGGCCACAGCAGTAACCTGGGAATCCTCATAAGAAAATAGGACTCTCAGGTCTGAGATTGCCTACCCATCACCCTCAGAGATCTGCGAGAGGGATTCTACTCAGCAACTAGCATCACCTTCACCTTACACACACTGGACCTGTGGCCAGCAGGGCAAGGAAGGGGATTCTGCCCCTCTGCTCCACTCTGGGGAGACCCTATCTGCAGTGCTGCCTCCAGCATTGGAGTCCTCAGCACAAGACAGATGTGGACCTTTTCAGAGCAGGTCCAGAGGAGGCCATGAAGATGATCAGAGGGCTGGAGCACCTCTGCTGTGAGGACACGCTGAAAGAGTTGGGGGTGTTCAGCCTGGACAACAGAAGGCTCCAGGGAGACTTTAGAGCCCCTTCCAGTCCCTACAGTGGCTACAGAAAAGCTGGGGAGGGACTCTTGATTAAGGAGTGGAGCCATAGTACAAGGGGGAACGATTTAAAACTGAAAGAGAGGAGATTTAGAACAGATATTAGGAACAAATTTTTCACTACAAAGGCAGTAAGACAGTAGAACAGGTTGCCCAGAGAGGTTGCGGAGGCCCCATCCTTGGAGGTGTTCAAGGCCAGGTTGGACGGAGCTTGGAGCAACGTGGTCTAGTGGGAGGTGTCCCTGCCCAGGGCAGGGGGGTGGAACTGGATGATCTTTAAGGTCCCTTCCAACCTAAACCATACTATGATTCTATCCAGATCCTCACCTGTTAAACTTCAACAGAGTAAGGCAATAAGAGAACAGCTCTAAAAATGGATCAGTGATACAGTACTGTCACCTTACAAACTTCAAAGTGGCAGAAAGAGCGAAGTGCTAGAAAACAGAAGCAACGTGCACTAGAATGCCAGTATAAGTCAGTGTACTCATCACACCACAGACTACAGCCAGTGATGGAGCTTTGCATCCTCCTATTCATCATGCTGTTTATTATGTAGAGTAGTGACATTTTGTCAGTTACGTATTTCCACTTACTGTTTATACACACTTAGAAAAAAGTATTTGCAAAACACATTAGTTTACTTGCACAAAACAAGCAAAGGGATTCTCTCTTTGTGCTCACATTTTAACAGAAATAATTTAAGGTTTTCTTGATTTGGTTCATTGATTATGCTCAAAGATAAGGATTTTCTCAAGCAGCACACTGGTTAGAACAGCACAGTTCTAACCAACAAGCTCTCTTAAAGTTCCAAGTCAAGACAGAACAGGCACACAAGCTTCTCTCTCTTCTGTCTATGAATATTATTTTAAAAGAAGAACAAAAGGAACTGCATTTATTTCTATTCAATTTTCAGGTAGGATATGCCAGTCAAAGCGAGCAAATTTCTAAATCATGATTACCTATCAGGAAATGATTACATTCAGACAACACACAACAACAACCACACTACGTTACTGTGCCAGACGACTGGACTTTCCCTAGCCAGAGCTCTAGAATCGTGAACAACAACAACAAAAAAAAAAAAAAAATCACTTTTTTTTTTTTGCAGCTCTGAACTCTTCATTTGCAATCATGTTGCTCATGCTAACTGTACTCAGCTACAGTACCCCAGAAATAGGACCACTTTTTCCAAACTTGTCTTAATACAAAACATCTCTGCATTCAATTCAAGAAAGTGAAATACAGGAATTGAGAACAATCGGGACAGAAATAGCCAATCTCCTCAACTTTTAGAACTTGATTAGCTCAAATAACCAGGCTTAACACCACCACCACAAAATTCTCTCTGCCCTCAAATCAACCTTCACCTGCCTTACACTAGAGATCCAACAAACTCTCCCCTTAGTATGCAGCATCCATTTCTACTCCATGAAGTTTAGACCTCAGTTCTTAATGGAAAATGATTTTTAAATATTGAGCAAAAATAATTTAGCAGTTGAAAATAATTCCTTTGAGAAACATCCCTTAAAGGGTCTCCATTCTTGTTACCTTTTTCCCAAACAGTAAAGTGTTTTCTAGTCTTCTGCAGATATTTGTAATTTTATCCTGTATTGCATGACTTAATGCAAAATAGAAAATAAAGGGAAAAACTGAAAAAATAGCAAAGTAATTTTCAGTTTCATGAAATACCCAAATTCTCAGGTTTTGGGGTTTTTTTCCAGTTTGTAAGTATTTAAGTCCAAGACAACTATGATTTTGTACACGTGGTTTGGAATCAATAAATTCTGCCTTGCAAAAAGGTAGTCTACAACAGTTTGCCTTTTCCATTCTGTAAAGTCTTCCCAAAGCACAGCAATAATGTTTTCAGTCACCATGTATGACAGGACATTCTTTTACAAATGGCAAATTTATAGCTGTTTTTTTTTCTTCTGGCAGAAAAACAAATGCATACTCTTCGCTGTACCTTTCTCATACATGGTTACATGCTAAAATCTAACCCAGCCACATCACACCTACTCCCAAAAAAATTGCAAGCTATCAAGAACTTTCCTGCATAGCGGCAACTAAAATCCTAACATGATTGAGTACATAAGCTTTACAGTACTGATACACCCACATGAGCAGCTATAATATGCAATAATAGTTCAATTTTTTTGCATGTCGATCACAGACAACCCTTTGCAAAGCTACACTGCAAGGTGTTAGTAAATATTTCTTCCACAAAAGATCCATATTATATGGCACAATATTTTCACCAGATGAAAACAAGCAGGTACATACTGATCTTCTGTTCCAAAAAACTTCACAAAGAAGCACTTTTTTCCACGAGGTTTCTTCAGATCTTTAGGTGGATTAACAATCTGAAAGTGATTAGAAATAAAAGTTAAAAAGCACATAATGAAAATTTATACTGTCCAATTTTACTGTCATATGTTACAGCTATGGTAGATTTTATTTTTTTTTTTAATCTGACTAGGAAGAGAATTTGAATCTGTTAGAAGTCTTTCAAGTACGTGTGTAACCCAGGTATTTCCTTAGATATGGGTATGCTGCAGCAGACTGAAAAAGTACCCAAACTCCATTGATACATCACTACATTCTTATTGAGGTTTTCTTCTCCCTATCCCCAACAGATAAGCTAGCAATCTTTTTTAAAATTTAGAAAGCCACATAGCATTAATAAAAGTCTGTTCCACTTACGTAACTTTTAAAATTTACGTTTAAAGCTTTGTCTTCACTCCCAGAATAGATTGCTTATGAAGTTTAAAATATTGATAAAGAGAAAAGCTGTCACTCAGTCACACAGGTGACACCTGAAAGACTGCAGGGGAGCCTGGACTTAATGTGATCCAATAACCAGAGCGAAACCAAACGTTTACGGTAGTCAGCCACAGTGACAACAGTGTTCCTGCTGCATGCTGTTATCTCAGCATGCTTAGTCCTCATACCTACACCAAAAATAAAAACAAAGTTCTTTCAGAGAATTTTCTATAATAAAATGCCACACATAATTCAACGGGGTTTTGTAAATCTTTGTGGCCTTTCATCAGAAAAAAACAACAAAACAAGAAGAGAAAGTTTCACTACTCCCTACCCCCAGAAAAAAAAAAAAACCTACTCAAAAAACCACTACTCAACCCATAGCTCTAAAGCAGTATCTTGAGAAGCCAGACTCTTTCTTTTTATTATTTAACACAGTGCATTTAACCAATTTACTATAGGAGGAAAGAAACCTGTCTTGCAGTAAGCGATAGGGATTAAATAACTAAATCTGGGAAACACTATCAGTTCCAGACCTGGATGAACCATGCTCTCCTGCTTTTCATGCCATCTAACTAACAGCTGTTAGTTACAGGCAGAACTTCTAGATCAAATAAAGCCCTAAAATGATTCACAGTTTAGATCTGTGGGGTATGTATTTAAAAAAAAAATCCAACACCCCGCCCAAAATATTAATTTTTAACTGAAATGCTTTCAGTCAAAGCTTTCTCTGTGCAGAAAGAAAAAGCAAAAACAAATAAACAAAACCTAAGAAAGCAACAACAAGGAAAAACAAACAAAACAAAAAACCCCTCACCTTTCCTGGCCATGGAGGATACCGGCCCAGCTTCCCCCTAGACAAAAAAGAAAGTTATTAGGTACTAGAAACAGAGACAAAACAACTATCCCACGTCTACCTTTCCGCATTACATCATATTTTTCAGATTAACAGAGTTACAACCTACTGTCAAAACCTACCATGAAAGGCAAGACGCAACTGACACACAAGCATTATATTGTTAGATACCTACACCTAAACTAAACCTCTAAACAGCCTGCATGAACTCGCTGGACTATCAGAATTTAAGCAAACAGAACAGCAGCAGCATAGGTACTGCCTGTAAGATACAATGGTATAGTGCTTATTACTCTCATAAAAGACTGGATATTCCCTCACAAGGAGCTGAAAAAAGTACTGATGCAGGCAATCAAGCCAAAGTTCAGGCTGGTAACTTATACCCATCCAGACAGAACAGTCTAGCGAGCAGAGGAGCCACCGATTTCCAGCTCAGAGAGCTGAGATTCTTAGACATGCTCACAGGAAAGCACTAATGGCAGGATCCCCTGAACAGGTGTTCCATTATCACTGTCTTCAGGTGCACACCACCACAGCAAGACGTGCTAAAGATATAAAAGAGCCATAAGAAAGGCAGAGTTTATTTCCTACGCTGCAAATGTTTCTGTTACAAAAACTAACCGAAAGTATTTCTTCATAGAGGAGGAAGAGAGACATTAGTCTTGGGCCTCAGCATGGTGGCTTTATCAGTATCTCACCTTTGTCACTTACTCAGGCAGCAGTACTCTCACAAAACCTTATTAGTTATTGTCTTGCAAGAAACTGGTAAAGAACCTGTGGAGCCTGCCAGCTCCAAAAATTCTCAGCAAGTACCACTGCAGCCCCTCCTGAGATGGCAATGCTACACCGACGAATCCGTAGCGATGGTCAGGCAGGAACACTGCCAAGAGCTGTAGCTGTGACCAGGTCTCATATTCGATGCTTCCATTCTTGGACTGAACAAGACATTCATCAAAGCCTTTCATATTACTGTCTTATTGTTATAGCTGTTCCATGATGGCTCTAGGGATAGTACCTGTCTAGGCTGTTATATATAAAACTAAAGCAGGATAATCGGCATTCCAACACTGAGAACAGTGCACTCCCCAAATCCTCATTTGAAAAAAAAAAAAATTGCTAAAAGGAACCAATCTTTACTTACTTTGCTATATAAATTAGACAACTTCACAGCACTGTCAATTTTTCGGATGAGAAACTGTAGTTGTCACAGCCTGGAGCACGCGCTTCTTTATATCTGGGATATAAATATAAATGCATGCACTTGCGCGTTGGGGATTAGCTATCTCTTGCAAGCCCTAGCAGGACACCCTAGACTATTAAGTACAGTAGAGCCTATGCACTTAAAAATCAGTGTTTACAGGGCTCAATGGAATCCCCTCGGTCCTCCTGATCGGGAAATACAAAAATCACAACACTCTGGCTATCTGAGGATAAAACTGAAGTGACAAGGGGAAATGGCTTCTGTGAGCTTCAACAGGGACATCCTAACCTGCAAAAAAACGCTGTTTTCCCAGATCGTTGTGCTGCTTCGTTAAAGCACTGCCAAGAATGGTAGCACTGCTCTCTCTAAGCACCTACTAACTTATTTATGTCCCTCGTCACCTCCCTTGGGAAGAGGCCGTATTTCCAGTCAAGCCCCGAGATGATCGCCCCTCTGTCCCGCTCCCGTTGCCCCCCTCCATCTTACACAGGTTCTTTTATGCGCCGTCTCCCGTTAGCCCGGCTGAGAGCCGAGCCCGCCTGCCCTCGGCCCGTGGGCCCAGACTGCCTCCAGCCGCCCCTCGCCCCTCCTCACACCGCCCCCGAGGGACAGAGGCGGCGGCGGCAACTGCCGGCCCCCCCCG